TAAACACCAATATAGTAAAACCTGTCTAAACTAAACACCAATATAGTAAAACCTGTCTAAACTAAACACCAATATAGTAAAACCTGTCTAAATTCAACACCAAATCAGTGAAACCTGTCTAAACCAAACATCAATATAGTAAAACCTGTCTAAAACCAAACACCAATATAGTAAAACCTGTCTAAACATTGAGATCTTGGACATGATGCCAGGAATGAATGGAACACTAAGTCACAAGGATCTCACTCTCTCATTGAGATCTTGGAGATAATGAAAGGAATGAATGGAACGCTTAGTCACAAGGATCTCACTCTCTCATTGAAATCTTGGACATGATGAAAGGAATGAATGGAACGCAAAGTCACAAGGATCTCACTCTCTCATTGAGATCTTGGACATGATGACAGGAATGAATGGAGCACTAAGTCACAAGGATCTCACTCTCTCATTGAGATCTTGGATATGATAAAAGGAATGAATGAAACACTAAGTCTCAAGGCTCCCACTTTGTCATTGAGATATTAGGTTCATTTTAGAGTGAGGTCTAAATATTCATTTCTGTTCAGATGATAACAATTTGCATGCATTTTGTTTTCAGGTATTTTGAATGGTGAAAAAGTGAAAATTAAAAAATACAAACAATAGAAACAAATGTGTATTCAAATATCTGAGCAAGTAAACAATTTAACAGAACTTACATGAATGGTTTGTTGTTTGTGTACTCAACCTTCAACATAGAATGATACAAGTAATAACAAAAAGAGGTATACTGTGTCCATTTAAGCCAGGATGGAAAAACTGATATAAAGTATCCAGCTGTGACCATGGTGTAAATACCATATATGGTCATGAAGGTCAAACCATCTGACAAATTGTTACATAGTAGGCCAGCAGTATAACCAATAGACTGAAATTTTAAAATATGTTACAAGGTTAATTACAAAGTTAGAGCGATTACTTGAAACACATAAGTCAACTTTGTTATCACAAAATAAACCCATCATTTTTTCCTGATTTATTCAAGTACTGCAGTCAAGGGATGTCCATTAAGGTCGCGAGAAGGGTTTTGTCACGTTTTCGAATAAAACATTCTCTGTCTGTTGTCTCATTCAGAACAGTAATTTTATATCTTATATATTTCAATAGACTAAGTATAGAGGTACAAGTTCGCACAAACTGGACAGTCATTGTTTACATAATTATCACAAGACATCAAAAATGGCAAACCTTGTAAAAATGACTAAGTCCACGATTGCGAGAGCACACTGCGGAATTTCCTGGTGAAATTTACGTCCTCCATTGTCCGTAATCAAGTCCATTGAAATGTGTCCCCGGTAATCAAAAGACCTATTATTCCGATTTCTATGCAGGTTTGTTTTTTTGTCCCCAAATTAATTCATACTTGGCACCTTTAACAGACTATTATTCTGTGACAAAGCATTTTCTTTAAAAACCCAGACATATTTCGCACCATCATTATCTTTTGAACGATAACTGCGAGTTTGAATGTCCTAGTCCGAATGCACTTGATTTGGCGGCGGTCCCAATGAGTCGTACTCAGTCAAAACTTCAACTCGAGAAAAACTCGAAAAACAGTTTTGGTTAACAAAACACTGTGGATTTGCTGCATTATTATAAATATACACTAAAAATGGCCAAACATATTAACCACTGATATCATAGGTCAGATAATGAATAATTTCAAGTTTGAGCGTGAAAAATGAAGAAAACTGCTGGCATTTGAGTCCATACTCCATGAACGTTCGAGTTTCCATTGTTATGCAAACGAACGAGGGATAATCATAAACAAACATTACTGTCCCACTGTACATCCTATCAGTTTACAAACAAGCTAATCCTTCAAATGTCTCTGATCTAATAAAACGATTTTCATGGTGAAACAAAATGGCCGATGTTTGAAAAAAAAATTGCTGTTTCAGAGTGCAACACTGAGTGGCAGATTATTCTTTGCCTCGTCTGTCAACGCTTTCTTTTCTTCGCCATTGCATTAGAAAAAATGGTATTAGTAAAATAGAATAATGACTTGGAAAATAAAACGATTTAAAAGATAGTTGCGCAAAGTTACAGTACTTATTTCGCACAACTTCCCGCCCGCTTCCGCTTTCCAATCACCTTTTTCTCTCGCTTTTGCGACGGCTTGTTGAATTTGACCGGGCAATTTCCGATCGTGCACACCCTGAAATATCACCACCCGCCCGCCGGCTCGCTTTTAAAATTCGGACTCATAGAAAAATTTCCGAAGTTCACATTGTCTTATAATTGTCTTTCTGGTTTTTATGAATGTTGAACAGCTGACAAAAATACTTTTTGACCTCGATTTCGCTTGGACTGAATGTTTTATTTTAAACAATATTCTGAAGTGAAATGTATTTCAACACAAGTACGATGTCTGGGTTTTCTTTCCTGATTGTCACGATGTGTTTGGTATAATTATTGTTGCTTTCCCCCCCGAGGCAAAGACGAGCTGAAGAACCATGAAGCTAAATAGTAGTTCCATGCATGGGCTGAGTGAAAGGAAATATTTCTAAGCCTAAAATAAAACCTAATATTACACCTCTTTGTGTATTTGTTAATTTTACATATGATTTTCATGACAGTATGTCTGTAAATATCTAGAAAATCTCGTCTTTCGACCGTATCCCAATAATTTGTTTGGAATGTCGATCCCAGTTGGTTTCTCCATACTGAGTTTAGGAAGGGCGTCGATCAACACAATCAGCCGAGATAGGACAAACATTGACCCTAATCATTCATGGGGACCGTGTTCGTAATTTGTGGGCTCAAACCCCAAATAATTCAACAAGTATTATTATTATAATATATATTTTTATTTACATCGCAAAACTACAACAAAGTTAGAGTTGTTTGCGGTGAAACAGCCGTATTTAAGACGATGCAACTTCAACTAGCCATTTCTTACCTTGAAATAAAAAAATAAGAAAATTCTACGAAGCGCATCGGGGAAAATATTAATAATCATTCTTATCAATCGCTTGCTTTATTTTATTTGAATCCATGAAATTCACAAGTTTTTTGACATTTGTTGGCAGCTTCCTCGCTAAAAAAGATTGAAATTGTGGGTGTGGTTCTTTTGCGAGGTCCTGTTGATAATACGGATAAATATGGTTCTGTGACCCAGGTCGTGCTCCGATCATGTGACTTTCAGCCAATCAATGATGTTGTAACAAAGCATATTTGACGCTAATTGAAGGGTCGTCGTACTATCCAATTTCCGGCGTCGATTCACATAGTGATTTTGTGCTGTGACATGCTTCAAAATTATTCGCTGAAAAACATCAGTATATTTTGAAAAACGGGTGGAATTTGACCTCAGTTCAAAAAGAAAATACTAGGCTGAGATACATTAGAGTCTATGGAATCAGTTTTCACTGCAAGTTGGGAAATAAAGTAAACCAGAGTAGGGTCGATGATTTTCAGCCCTGAAGGACTTCCGTGTGAATCCTGAGTTTCGAATTTTTCATCGACTGGCCACTAAATATTTATGGCTATAACCAAATTTGACACGTTAATTAAAGCCCAATAAATTATTTATGCATGTTCGATTTTTTCAGTGGCCGTTTTTAGTCGAAAATATTTTTTGTGGGAACACTTTTACAGTACGTATACGGTATAGACTGAACTCATTCAAAGATCAGGACTTATTTTTGAAAATTGAATGTCAAATTTTACCAGACCGGCCGACGTGGATTTGGTATTGTTATTTTTGGAATTAATCATTAACATTTTCTCGTTTCTCTGGTCTGTCAAAATGAGTTACCTATGCTTTTTTCACATAACTGTCTCATTAAAATAATAAAAAATATTACATCTAGAACAAGCACCCAAAACACGTAACAAGAGGTTTCAGTTCAAGTGCTTTCACGATACAAGTGTTACACAACTATTAGATTGAAGTGTCATTCAGAATTTAATAACAGTTAATACTAGTTGTATGTTCGCACTTTACTATCAAAACCACCATTTCAACCACTCATGTGCCAGTGATCAGTGTTTGGGCAAGCGGTCGGTGTTTCAATGAGCGAGCGAGCGGGAAAAAAATGCGGCCAGTTTCCGGTCGGCCAATACCACATGATCGGAAATTAAGCGATAAGCGGTCGATGTAAAAGCGGAAGGTTGGGCGAAATGAGTACTGTATGCCCGGACTCTATGACCATGTTTCTCCGACGAAGTGTCGAGTGACAATAATGGACTTTAGATAAACCATAGACCCTCCAGTAGTACTGGTGGCTCTATGGATAAACACGCACTGTTTGCAACGGGAAGCTTATCACCCATTATATCAGAATCGTCAACAACAGAGTATACGGACCAGATGTTATCATTTAAACCCTTCCAAAGATAAACATTATGCAAATATCCACAAAACGGCAGTTGTAGTCTTTTCTGCTAGCATTTTAAAACACTTATTTAAGCAAATTTATTTCGCAATTTCGATCTTTTGTAAACCTGGGATGATGTATCAAGGTCTAAAGTAACCGTTTTATCAATTTTTGAAAAATCAAGAAAAAAAGTGAAAATTTCCCTTCTCGCAAATGCAAAATTGGAGAAAACAATTATGATATTCAAACAAATTTTCACAAGTTTGCTTATAAGTGAAAATATTTCTCTCCTTTCAATGAAGAGTACTAGCAACGAAAAGAAAAGATGTGTTCAAACGACTAACACCACACTTATAACTCTTAATCTATCACATTAGACCCACACATCACTGCTTGCAGCTATATTTATAAATTCTCAGTAACCAGGAAAATATTCCCAAGCAATATTACTAAAAGTTGGGATACTGTGGGTTAATGTAAACAGGGGTACTAACCTGGCCAACTAGTGAGCCCAGTAATACAAGTGCCAGTGAAAAAACAAATGCTGGTGGCCAAGTCCTGTTCAGACCACCTGCCCAGTAGATAATGACATAAGACATAGCAGGAATTAGTGTTCCTATTGGAAGTTCACTTGTCTGTTTTGCCAGGAAGTAAGCTGACAATCGATACAATCCAGATAAGCGTTCTTTGTTAATAACCACTCGTTCTCCAGGAACTGCAAGCAATAAAATGAAATGAAATGAACAATGAAAATTAACTATTATACTGCACAATACATGTACAGTTAGAGTAGATGGGTAAGGTCAATGCTACTGAGGATAATGAAGTTAGCTTTTGTCACAATATACTCATACTGCACACAAAATGTATGTATGTATAGCATGACGTGAAGTTGGAAGAAAAAAGCACTTTCTGTTTACATTAAATAAAAAGTACTTCCATGCATACATTGCCATAAACATTTGTAGAAATGTCCATCAAGTGAATTGTACTTACA